TACTTGCTGAAAGAAAAAAAGAAGAAAGCAGTAAAGAAAAGAAAGAACATGTTTCCACTCCGCTATAATCAGTTATTACATCAAAATTGCATTTCAAAGAAAGTTAGTATTACCAAATTTTAATTATTTAAAGCGTTTAAAGTCATTTTTTAAAAACTTTATTTTCTTGAAAATGGCGTAATTCTTTTCCTTACAATTCGTTTATTTCTTAAATCGTATCGTTGTTGTAACAAATTATTATTGTTTTAAAATTTTGTAAATCTATGAAAATCTGTATAAATGTAATATTAGACTTCAATTTTATAACAACTTATAAATAAATATATATATATATATATAACATTAAATCTGTGCACAACTTACCAGATGATAGTGTTAAATTCTCACATTGTTCACAGTTTATTTCACGTGTGATATCAAAGTCAATTTGAGATTAATTAATTACATTATTGGCATTATGTAAATAACTTCATCTGTTTAAATACAAATTATCTCTTCAGTACGTATCATATAATTTATTACCACAATGAATAACGCATTCATGTTATAAGTATTATAACGTAAATGTCATTGATGTACGTTGGTGTACGTTGCATTAAATATCTGTATGCTTCCTTACAAGACTTCATTAATTAAAGTGTTCACAATATATAATAAAGTGCTCAAAAGCCAACGTCCAACGCGCCATATGTCGACCATAAAATATAGTCCTATATAATATCGCATATTTTGCATCATAAGCACGTAATATGTAATATCCGGAGTGCCAGCACCTTTAATATACGAATCAGCGCGGAAAGAGAAATGCACATCTAAACGTACGAACATAACCGCAGTTAATATGATTATAAGTGATTTATGAAAAGTTAGTTTCGTGCGATAAACACTCCTAATTTTTAATTAACATGATACGTTTTAACATTTGGTATGCAGATTAAGAATTAATTTACATTTACCCGCGCATATTAAAAAACAATTTAAACATTGTTAAATCTTTGACGCACTTTTCATTTATCATTTATTAACAATTTTTTATTTTATATGTACTGAATATAAAACTACAATATTATTCTTATTTATAACGTATATTATATCTTTAATATTATTAAATATTATTGTTTTAACATCAATTTATCAGATATTTATATTTAATTATCTAAAAAATTTATCTATTTATGCGTTTATATTACACATTTATATATCATGTCATCTGCTTGCGAATAGCTGAATTAATAATAGCATTTAAACGGAAACCGTCGGCATGATTAATTCACTAGTATGTAGATATGCGACTAATTGTCTTCTGATGAACATTCAAAATCACGATCCGTCGTTTACGTTACATTCGATTGAGCATATATTTATCGCGATTGAAAATTAATATGAATATTTATTGCCGAATATTATTTTAACACCTTTTCCATCTTACGTTTTAATTAAAAATAATTAGTGGTATTATTGTGTTGTTTTTATAAATTTTTTACTTTATTTGCACAACAATACGTTAAATATAATAAGTCATCAATAGTGATTTTATATTTATATAATATAATTTTTATTAGGAGCTGATAATTTCTCACACGAATTTGAAGATTATACGAACTATAAGGAGAAACATGTTTTCGGCACGGAGATCGCGCGCGTACTGAAAATCCCAGCAACCACCCCCATCGACCCTCTCTATCTGCCCTCGTTCTAATACAGATAACGGTGTACATGTAACGCGCGTGTATATAAAACGCATAAACTTTATATTTGGGATTGATAAAAGTAAGAATGCATTTGCAAAATTAATGTAATTTTTACAAAATTTGTTGTTTACCGTCCTCTGATTCATATCATAGATATCACTTCTCTTGATTGTAAACGGGAATATCGTTTTTTAACACATGCAATATTTTTATATAGCACTGACATTCCAGCAACATTTCAATGTTTCAGTAATATTGTAACATTATTGTCAGTTACTTTCTTACTTCAAAAGTAACATAATTAAAAAATTTATGGAACTATATATGTAATTTTAATCGTTAAAACATTTTGTCACAAATAAAAAGTAGATTTTTTTAAAAGTTATGAAATGGAAATAAGAAAATTGATAAGTAAATATATTAAAAATATTCTCTCTCTCTCTCTCTCTCTCTCTCTCTCCCCCCCCCCCCTATTGATATTATATGATTAGTTAATCATTTTTTGTTAAATTGAAAAATAATTTTTTTCCTTTTGTGAGAAATTTAATTTTTTAATTATGACACACTTAAAGTAAAAATATAATATGTAAGTACCATAATAATTACCACATAAAATAATTGTTTAATTACAATAATTAGAATCATTATAATTATACAGTCACAGACTATATTGAATTTGACTTATCTTAAGTTTTTAAATAAAATGATTTAAATAAAATAAATTATATACGTACAATATTATTCATAAAAAGTTAAAATACTAAGATAATTTTTTATTACTATAATAATATCTTTTTTATTATATTTATAAAAAATAAAATTAATTACATTATGCTATCTTTTAGTTAAACGTCAAAATTTAAATATGAAATGCGGGTCATTTGCTTGGAGCTGATTGTTCAATTAAGTGCGAGACACTTCAGAAACTTACTTTCACATACTGCGTATTCAATTGTCAACCGCAATTGTATTAATTTTGTGTCTCCTTTGTGATAATTATACTATCTTTTGTCTGCTATTCAGACGATATCGTATTACCTACCCTAGTTTAACTACGTTTGAATTGAAGTAATAATTCGAATATTGATCAATGCAATCAAATACTACATAAAGTCCTCGAAGTATAAACTACTAAAAATAAGATTAAATATAAAAGTGATTACTCTGTGATTTACGAATAGAATAAAAAAGAGAAATATATTAATTTTAACAATATTTTTTAATGCAAAACTACTATATTTTTGAAAAAACAAAAAAGCTCTCTTTATTTTTAATCTATAAGAATCTTTAGCTATATTATATACTTATATATTTTTTTGCACTTTCTAAACTAAATTCTACAATTATGCAATCATAATACTACTAATAATATTACTAATAATGCTATATAAATTACAAATGATAAGACAAAATATAATATTATCTTAGCCTCAGTGTGTGTGAAAAGAGAGAAAGAAAGATTGTAAATATATTTTAAACGATGATCGGAGTTGGATATAGCACACTTCGTCAGAAAATCAGAAATCAATACCAGTCTACTTAAAGACTTCGTAAAATCCGATTACCACATTGGATGTTCCATACTTCTTTATAAATAAATTGTATCAAAGTTCATCTCTCAGTAATCTTATAAACGTCTTGGAATCGTATTTCAAACTCTCTCAAATTATCCACCGCTTTAGTATGTTCTTTCTTCGTCATTTCGTTATTTTCAAATGGTCGTTATCGCGTCCATACTTAATAAAGTTTTGCGACGCGAAGATAAAAAATCTGATATCGGAAAATTATTATGTTATCGTTCGTAATTCTTCAGATCAAATTACCGTTTGACAGTAAATATGTATATGCCAACAAGTAGTACCGATCAAAGCTTAAGTTCACCTTCACCACCCTCTCAGTTTATGCAAATGCAAGCATTTTGTCGAGATTCTAAATCCATTTGCTTGACCCTTTCAATGCTAAATTAAGATGCGGCCAGCCGCTTATTGGTGCTGACTTAGGAAAGGCAATTTCAAGCACTTCAGAGCTATTGGTCCACAAATATATCTATGTAGAAATAAAATGAAAGTATATTAAAAGTTTAATAATATTTTTTAAATATCACATACACATATATAAATCAATTTTTTAATCAAATTAATATTCTTTTTTTACATTAAGAGAAACTATAAATACAAATTTCGGTATAGTTTTCAAGTACAAATATGTACTGAACACAAAATATTACGTATAAAAGAATTATTTCATTATGTGATATTGTTTGCAGTATGTATACAAACGGCGTTCACATTTTTACACAATTTGTTTAAACATAATCATACAAAATTATTAGTCGCAAATCAATTAAAGTAAAATACAAAAGTAGATTATATCCTTTGTGTTACATATATGTTTATTGATATATCATATTTTCAATGTAATCTTTACATACATATAATCAGTATATTTATGTATACAAGTTAAAATATTTCAAATATCGTATAAGTGAGAATTTTTTTAATGAGTAAAACATTCATCTCTCTCTCTTTCTCTCTCACACACTTTTTATTTGATCGAACACAGCCGAACAAATTATTAACATTGAGATAAACTGCAGTAATATATTGCGTCTAATACTGACACCTATGAGGCATCTAATGATATATCCGCCATATTGATCGCATCGGTACTGCAATCGTGTGACAGTTTTGTTAAGTAAATTCCATGCGATCATAGTCTCTTACGTGTACAGTAAACTTTCTATACATCTTATAATAATCACTCATACACAATACGCATTAAAAATATTATATAAATATATAAAATATTATTACGCGCGTAGATATCAGTAGATATTCATAAAAAAATACATAAAAATAATTAGAAAATTAACTTACATGCTTCTTCTTAATTAATGTTTAAACTTTTGTAAAATATAAGAAGATATTAGCTACTGAAAATTTTATAGTCAAAGATAAACATGGTTGCTTAGCTCTCATACGAATATAGATTACTATATAATTTTATATATTCTAAACTATAAGATATAAAAAAAAAACTGTATCTACTGTATGTATATATATAATTTACATAATAAAAAATGTTATTAACACATTATGTTATTATCTAATCCAAGATAAAATTTAATTTAAATATCAAATTGTGAAAAATTTGGGATGTTAAAGCATATTGAGCAAAGTATATATATTATATTTCAGAAACCATTTAACAGATGTTAGATATATGTAATACAAAATAAATTATTCTTGTATATTTAAAATTTTTTATTGCAGCATGTTATTAATTAAAAATTAAGTGCTTTATATGATATTATATATCTAAATGTATACTTTCATTATCAGTTTGATCCATAATATTTTCAAAATCTAAGTCAGATTTTTTTGTTATATAATTGCACGTAGACAAAATCTTTCGATTTTCCCTCTGTATTCTTTGGCTAATAGGAATATATGATTCATTAATACAGCCAAATTCATCATCAGAGTTATCCGATTTTTGTTTTTCATCTTCTGCATAAACATAATTTTCTCTAGTACACGTCGCAGGTTTGTCAATTATTATACATTCTTCTATGTTTTCTGCAGATTGGCTAGTAGATTCTATAGACTGACAGTCTATTTTACTAAATTGAAAGGTTTGTTTTCTACATATATTTTCTATTACATTTGTTATATCTAAATCATTATCTTCATTTTCGCTTGTAAAATCATTAGGAGAGAGTTCACTGAATATTCGGTCAAACGTGTTATTTAACTTTGAACTCTTTTCCATTTCCAATACTCTTTGAAATTGTGGTCCACGTTTCTTTTGTTTTACATTCATAATCGCAACATCTTCAGATACGTCCCTAATTTGTAACGCATGCACTCTATCTCTAATATTTTCTTCCTTCTTTGATCTTTTTGGTGAAATTATCATTTGCTCAAAGGAGTCTTCTAAGAATATTACATCGTTTTTAGTTATAAATTCGTCGATATTCCTATTATCTTTTTCTTGCTTTTTTTTTACTTTCTGTTGCTTTGATTTTGTAGTATCTTTTATTCCGGTATCATTGTCTTCTATATTTGTTGTAGCTTTTTTTCTCCGAGAATTTGCTGTTCTTTTTTTCGTTTTTACATTCCTGATATTTTCATATGCTTCAACTAATTTTGGATAACATTTTAAAACCAAGTCTTGTGGCTCAATACTTGTTAGTAAATTATTATCTACATCATCATTATTCTCATCGCTATTTTCATTTATTTGTTCTTTATATTCTTTTAGCATTTTTATTACAGCATGCTCTTTTTTCCATATAATTTCATAACTGGCTATAGATTTAATATTACGTATCTTTTTTATACTATCAGGAATAAATAAATCTGTTATAGACAAACGTTCATCCAAGCTAAAATTTGGTAAATGTAAAAGTTGCCATCTAGTAATTAATGTAAATATTTTTTCGAACGCATATTGTGGTTCCCAACATACATATTTCTTCATAAAGTCCTGATGAAAAAAATATAGACAGATTATTTAACATGTTATAATGTACATAATGATAAACTTACAATAAATTGATTGACTTGAGGTTGTTCCCATTTTATATCTAATTTATTGGGAATTGAATCCTTCCTGACAAGAAATTCATCTATTAATTCCTGATTTGGAAAATTTTCATCATAAAGCGCTTTCTTTCTTAACGATATTTCATTTAATATCAATGTTCTTTTTTCCCTGTAAAAAATATAATCTCATATAAAAAATAATAAATTATTATTTTCAAAGAAATATATGTAATAAGAATAGAATAATTTTTACCTAAAATCATCATTACACTTCCTAATAGTTCCACAATCAGCACAACCTGATTTTGTATGCTTTTGTAGTTTTCCTGAATGACCACACGATGTACATAAACTTGGATTTAACAAATCAAATTCAGCTTTGTTCAAACTTGTGTCAGTTCTCCAATCTTGAATTCTAAAGAAACAGAAAAAAGAAAAAAATTCAATTGTACATTTCATTTATAAAATTTAATAAGTTTGATAAACATGTAGTATACTCAAACCTTTGTAAAATATCTTTCTCTCTCACAGTCTTGAAAAATTTTAAAACAGCCTCCTTTCCAACACCACTCACTCCCTCATCATAATCACAACCACACAGCAAGGCTAATGCTATCATTTTATTTCGTCCTATATTTAACGTCTTCTCTATTTTTTCCATACTATAAACATCCACAGAGCCACCTGTAGCTCCACAATTTCCTTGAGTACTCATACAAAAGTTTCTGTATACTATTTTTGCACCATATAAGAAACAGTCACTGTCTTGACTTATACAACCATCTACAAGCTGAAAGTACATTTCTCCTTTAAAACAACGAACAATTTATAAAAAAAAATTAGGTACATGAACATACTCCATCCTCATTTAAATAAGCACACATGGCTTCTGCTTCACCACAGCTCTGTATACAAGTAACACCCATGTATCTTAACAATTCTTTACACTCATTTAGAACTCGATTAAATTGTGTTCTTCCTCCTCTCTTAGTAGTTTTTCTCTCTTGAAATCCACTACGAATATCGTTCCTTCGTGCAATAGTTTTATGTTTTAGGATAGGTGGCTTTCCTTCTAATACAAATACTGGAGATATCCCGTATGTGAGAAGAAATGCTGTACGGAAATATAAGTTCCTGCAATAATCAATTCAAATCACATACGGGCCACTTTCACCAAATTTATCAACAAAATAATACACATTATATTGTTAAATATAAATTTATTATACATAAATTTTAAAAATGTATATTATGCGTTAATACATTATCTAGTATTAATCCATTATATGTTTAACTCTGATGTCATTTGTGTGTGTGATTAAATATATTTCAACAAACAAAAATAAGTCGAATCAAAGGCAGGTTTACCTAAGATACATCCTCGGTTGTACCACATTGTCAACAATCATTTGGCTGTCCACGATCCATCCACTTAAATCAATCGCGATGGTCTTTCCCTGTAGCTCATACAGTGGTTTTTTCTCACATAAAGGCGACAAAACATTCCACAGATCTTTGACACCCATCCTTTTTCGTATCAGATATGATTGAATTCAAATTAAATCCTTCGGCGGACACTTGACAACGTAAACAACGTAAAAATCTCCATCATGCCATCTCTTGTAATAGTGACAAACGAGACGCGTAAAATGCGTTTTTACTCGTAATCGGTAATACAGTGATTTAATTCATGTGGATTACATGTATACTATAAATTCTAGTTCAGTTTTTCAGTAATTTCAGTTTTTTTTACAACTGGCTGTTTTAAAATCGGATTTATCTAGCATTTATATGACATCTTTTTGTCCTAATGCCGTGTAAATTAATGTACACAACAGAGTCCATATTTCTGTTTTGCTGTCACCATCAGCCAATGATCACGTTCAGCAGACTCAACTGTTGGATAATCTAAAAGAATACACCAAGCAGCGAGCGCTCACGAATCCGCTCCACAACAGTTGAGTCTGCTGAACGTGACCTATAATTCCATCTTGATTCACGCAGAATATACGTCGTCATTTTACACAAATTCGATCTTCTGTAAAACGTAATAAACAATAACATATTGAACTGTTTCGAGTAGTTGATGACAACCATGATTGACCATGATGACAACAGTTTCAAATAAATAAACATTGGAAGAGAGCGAAGATGAAAAAATAAAGATTGTGAATAAGAAAATAGTATTTTAATAAGTCTTCAGATTTGTATGTACATTGAGAAGCAATTATTTAGCAAAGTCATCAGTTTAGAAGTCATAAGATTGTAAGACACACACATTGTTATTATATAACATTTTAAAAGTATATCTCTGTTTCTTTTATTTATAATCGTGTAATACTTTTCTATTTATAGTACAAACACTTCTCAGTCAGAACGAGCTTGATAAAGGAATGAGAGGAACATCGACAGAAGATACATGTATGCGAAAATAGAACGTATTTGCTATGATTAAGCAATATTTTAATTTTATAACCTAAATTAATTTATAGGTCTGTTGTCTGTTTTCTGTGATTAACTAGTGTACACTTTTGGAACTTAAAGTGGAAAAGTGTATGTTCGATATTTGTCAAAAGCGAGAGACGGTTCTAGCAGAGGTTCTAGTCTAGTGCAGGAACTGAAAACAAATTATATATGTGTTCTTTGAGCAATTTGCAAAATTTTATTAAATTGATCTTGTGAACGACGTTGTTATTGATAGTAAAATGATCGGTGGAAACACCAGTGGTAATTCGCCAATACCAGCAGAAAAATTGCCAGAATGTTGGAATCAAGAAGAGAGAATGAGCGCGTTGTTCTCGCCGTTTCGCAGTAAATCTGCAAACCCGCAAGATTGGATTTCTAAATACAAGTTCTGGAACAATCTAATATATGAATACCTGAAACATACCATGCAGTGTAGCTTTTCTATCATTGATTTGAACGAAGCCTTCAAAAGAAAAGGATGCACACCACTATGTCTAGTTACCGTAATTGAGGAGCTTCTAAGGTATTGTTGTAACTGTTAAATATAGATTAAATATATTTAACATAAATGTTATGTATTAAATATATGAGAGAGAGAGAAAGAGAGAGAGAGATAAGCATACATAAGTATATAATTTTTTCAAATGTTTTTATTAGTCAATCAATTATTATACTAAAGGGATTGTTTATAATAAAAAATAGGGTATATAATTTAAACTCTAATTCTTTAATATTGTATATTGTTTTTTATTTTTAATATGTATATTTTGTAAATTTGTTTTAGAAATAACGAGATAATTCAAGAGACTGATTTTTTTAAAGAACCGTGTGAAACATGGACAGCATGGTCAATCGACATATTTGTAAAAAAGCCAATTAGCTGGTCGTTTTCCAAAGTAAAGAATTATATTATAGGAGGGAAAACAAATAGTGTAGAAGTTAATTATATACATTTGCGGATTGTGCGAGAATTAGGTGATGTTATTCTCTCTATCGTTGAAGTTAAAAAAGATAAGGTCTTGTTCCCAATATCGGAGATAATAGAGTATTGCAAAAGCAATACAAAAAAACAGATTTCAGAAAATGCAGTGAAATTAACGTTAGAATGGTTAAAGCAAAGGAAAAAAGTAGTTTTTAAAAAGAGTTCCAATCCAAATAGTGAATTACTGGTTAAAATCTGTGTGCAAATAGCAAATGAAATTACAGAAGTAGAAGAAGGCATGTATAAACTGACACAACAAGAAAATGAACTAATGAAAGAAATAGAGCTTTTAGAACAAGAAAAGCTCAATATTATTAATGAAGCAAAGTTGTATTTGGGAAAAGAATTGCGTCAGATGGCAAAGGCAGAATTAAGAAGAAAAATGGAATTGGAAAAGACCATAGAAAAGCGTGCGCAAACTCTTGCAAATCTACGCGTTCTTATTAACAATATCAAGGATGCTCATTCTAACTCTGCTGTATTGTCTGCTTACAAAACTGGGTCCGATATACTGAAGAAAATTGGACAAAATGGTTTAACAGAATTTGGTGTCAGAGATGTTATGGATGATATTAATGAGGTAAGCGGTTGTATGTGTTATATAGGTATTACTCGTGATTATCTAATACAAACCGAGATGTACTAATATCAATTATTCAATAACTAGGTCTTAGACGAGAACAAAGATATAAATTCAGTTTTATCTGAGACGCTAAACAATACAGACTCTGATACCGAATTGGAAAGGGAATTGGCAGAATTGTTAGATGAAGATAATGCAGATGATTTCACTGTGATTCCTGATTCAAATCCAGATCTTGAAAAATTGAAGCAACGTTTGCAAGACTTACGCATGGAAGGTAAATATTATGGAAATTATATGATGTATATTTTATATAATATGATATATTTTATATAAAATAATGAAATATATAATATACAGATTTAGTTTCACCCAGTAAAGATGTAACTGCTCTGCCATCTGTGCCATCCAATAAAGAAAAGGCATTGAAGAAACCTGAATGTTTGTGAGTTGCAATAGTCAATCTATAATATGATATTAATAATAATTTCATAGGATCACTTGCCTCATTTTTTAAGAATATTTTACTATAGGTCATGTAATAGAAAATATATTTATTGTACATTATGTAAAAAAATATTTAAAAATTTTTTATTACACTTGTTTTGTATAATTTGATATATATAAAATTAAAATAGATATACAGAATGTTTGGAATTTAAATGTCAAAACTTCAGGAGCGTGTAAGGAATCGATAAACTAAGAAAAAAGTCCTGTAGGGATATACTCACTTTGTTTTGAAAAAAATTGCAGAAAAAGACAATGTAGTTTCATCTTTATACTTTTTTATTATTTATTCACATTGTATTTATGTTTAATGTAGATATTGTTCAAAATGTGTACCTCTTACAGCAACACAAGCATTGCATCTAGTACGAACAATTCGTATTGCAGCACTTGCAGCCAAACATTTTTGACGATATTTGATGTATGCAGCTTTGATGCAATTTCGCAATTATTCTTTTGAGTTAATTAACAATAAACTTCTTGCTTAGGACTCCCCCCCACATATACACGAACAAAGGAGTTCAGTAGTGTCAAATCTAGGTGATCGGAGTGACCAAGATATTACTCATGTCCAAGAACAAAATAATTATATTTTGCTTTTTTTGCGATTTTCTTCAAAACGAAGCAAAAATGAAAATCTTTCTACAGGACTTTTTTTTTGTTAGTCTATCGATTCCCTACACACTCCTGAAGTTTTGACATTTAAATTCCAAACATCTTGTATATAACAATTAAAAAAGTTCGACGAATTAAAATTCTATTTTGCCTATCCATTTTTTATATCATTATCCTATATTTATGTTGTAAAAGTAAGAATATTTTAAACATAAAATTTAGTAAGCGCATAGAGTTGTAAAATTAATCTCATTTATCACATAAATATAAAAACTTATTTAATAAATCTTTAATTATTCCACTCAACAGAGTTGCAACTCTTTTCATGTAATTACGCATTTGACAAATAATGTAGATGATTTATCAATAGTTTAAACTTACATAGCATAAGACAAGTGCTTTTTCCGATAATTGCGTATAACAATTAATTATACCATCAATAAATTTAGGAACATCTTGTATGAGATTCATTTGAGCATAATATATCCGTCTGATTTTGTTCTATTTTTGTAATTACATCTTGTATCCATGAAATATGCCTAGATATTTCTGTATATAAGGAATACAAGTTATTGTCGCAAAACCAATTTCCATCCTTTTGTATCGTGCCGAGGGAAACACTAACAATGCCTCGAAGATACCACAAACTATTAGTTTTAAAGACTAATCCGCCGCCACTGTCACCATCGCAGATAGAAGAACCTGAAACATACAATGCTTCTGTAAGTTATCTTTCTACTCTTCGCATCTTTGTATAAAACGATCTTAAATTTAAAAACAATTCTTAAATTTGTGTCCTTTCCTCTCTTATTATTTTTTTATATAATTTCTATAATTTAGAATAAGAGAGAGAAAGATGAGTTTTTACAAATATTTTTTGCAAATATTTTTCTGATAAATTTAGTACAAAATATAGTGTCGTGCTCATTAATGTTATATTTAATGGATCTTTTACTAACCATTTGTATAACCTGCGCAAAACTTATCATTGGTGATAAATCGTTCTGTATTAGCATTTTGGCTAGCGGATCTGCATTGACTGGGTGGAATTACAGGTACTGTTAGAGCTTGTAAAACTGCGCTAGATTCACCGAATGCGGTTCTACCAAATCCTGCTACCTTTCCAAGAGAACCTGCTTCCAATACACTTGTACTGCTTAAAATATCTATGCATACAGGAACCAACCAAGTTGATAATACAAATGGACTAACGAGTTCTAATATTGCGATATCCGAGTCGTAATTTCCTGTAAGTCCTAGATAATTACGTACGATGTAAATACGTTCCACCTGTAAGAAGGCATGTGTAAACACTTATGATCGATAAAATGTACCTTTTAGATTAATTTATTATTTTATTATATACACTTCCAAACCTGATTCTTTTTAACGAGGATTGGATCATGAAAATCATAATCGTAATCACGAAAGATATTTCCCGTTAATATATAAATTGATCTGGCATTGATCAGTTGCGTATTCCTCTCATCATATACACAATGAGCAGCCGTTATCAAGAGATTCTCTTGAATAATAGACGCTCCACAGAAAAATTTCTTCGACCCGCCTGGTGCATCGCGATACATCGTAGCATGCCACGGAAATTCTGTGATATTCGGCTGTCTACCGCCTACAACGGTCGGTTTAATGTTGGGAGGAAGAGTACCGCATACTACAATAAAGATTTCGATTGGAGAAACGGCGTATTTCATCACGGCGTAATAATACAAGAGAACGTATTAGATACGTGTGATTATACAAAAGGAGATAATTCACAATTACTGTAACTCCACTGCGCGTCATTGCGATAATTTTATGATTAATGGGATGGGAGAGAGATTGAAATATATCAAAAAGTCACGAAAAAGTTTATTAAATATTTTCGATATATATATATGTACACTTAACTTAATAGTATATAAATTTGTACATAATATTTGTATAGTAATTAAAAATTGGATTCTAATACTTTCATTTAAGCTTTGGTTTACTAGGAAACAATTTCAAATTATAAAGAAACTGTAATACATACAGAATGTTCCACCTAATTCGAGTATCTGAAATATCTGACTTGGTTCTTATGATAGAAAAAAATGTTTCAAGTGAAAGTGAAACAGTTTCAAAGGGGACGCATTTTGGTCCCCATATTTTTTTCTAGAAGGAGGTACCAAAAAGATCACTTCTATTTTTTAAATGAAATTGTATAATTTTTTTTACACAATATGATCTAATTATTCTGCATACAAAAGTATTAAGATAGATATAAAAAAAAAACCAATAAGTTTACGAGATATTTTATACTTTATTCTGGCATATATTGACATAAAAATTAAATAATTCGTAAACTAGTTTTTTTTTAAATTGTAGCTTAATACTTTCATATGCAAAATAATTAGAGGAATTGTATTATATAAAAAAATGTATACAATTTCATTTAAAAACTTTCATATCTTTTTCACACCTCCATTAGAAGAAAAACAATAACCAAAATATGTCTCCCTCAAAACCGTTCCACATTTTCATCTAAAACATTTTTCCTATCATAAAAAACAAGAGAAATATTTCAGATACTTGAATTAAGTGGGACCTATATACACAGGTATGTGAATTATCTCTCAATTGGAATAATGATATGTATGATTACTGTGCCAACTGTAAAAATATTCGAAATTATAGTATTTATAATGTAATATCATTCTTTCATAGTTTTAAGACCATGCCCATGGTTCATCTGTTGCTATATTATTATTTGATTTTGATACTCTAATATCTATATTTGGATAATTTGAATTGTTGGCACTCGTATATATAACGACTCTGTCATCCAAAACTTCAATAAACGTAGCGTTTCTATCAAAAGTGGTGTGAAATGTAAGTTTAGTGTTATTAATGTAAATATTTATCATGAGCGGACCTGGAATGCATCGCATAGGTTCTGGTTCCCAATGACCATTTACATTACATTTCACATTCTTTCTTTGTCCGGATAGTAGATTACTTTCAGGTTGATAACTATTTTGACATTCCAATATCGCTGTTGTTCTTGGTGGAACTGGAGATCCACAAGATATCCATTCAGCATTGTATGTACATCTAGCTTCGATTGATGCTGTAGTCAAAGCTTTACAGCGTATTTCTATCAAAGATTTTGAATAATTAATTAATAATTCGGTATTTAGAAATCTATATATATCTTTTCATGAATAATTAAATATTTTAAAAATATATAATTTGTTTTAAACCTGTGCAAACTGGTATATTAAGCCATTTTCCTTCGAAGCTGCAGCTCACATCAGACGGACCTCTTAACTTATATCCCGTATCGCAAGAATAGATGAGATAAGATCCTAATCCCAGTACTGTTCCCTCTGGAACGTTACAATCCTGTCCACCTGAACATTGCGATCGATGTAATTTCCAACGACCGTTCTGCGGTTGTGGAGGTGCTCTGCAAGTATTTGTGCCACGTGTTGGTGTTGGTGTTGGAGTCGGCCATCGTGTTGTTTCCGTTGTTGGTCGTAGCGTCGGTAAAGGTGACGGCCATTCAGTTTCACTACATCTTGAATCTTCGTCTGATCCATCGACGCATTCAACTACTCCATTACATCGTAAATCACCATTAATACAGGCTCCATAAGTACAACGGAAAGCTGTCGGAGGACAGCTGTAAACAAATTAATAGTTATGAAACGTTTGTTTCTCATGATTGTTTTTAACATTTTCAACATTTATAAAAGACTCTCACTATACTAATCTGCATTTTTCAGACGTTTCGTCGGAACCATCTGCACAATCTCGAACTCCATTACACATATTGTCTTTATGAATACACTCGCCGTTATCGCATGGAACTTGATTTGTAGTACATCTATTTATAGGTCTATTTGTAGGCCTACTTGTAGGTCTACTTGTAGGTCTACTTGTAGGTCTACTTGTAGGTCTTGTTTGATTGTTTGTTGTATTTTTTGTGCACTGCGTTTCGTCGCTGTTGTCAATGCAATCTTGGACACCATTACATACGGAATCTCCATTTACACAGGCACCGTAATTGCAACGAAAAGCATACCTAGGACATAGAATCTCTGGCTTTGTACACTCGACTTCTGTCTCATCAGACGAATCCCTACAGTTTGGTGTGCCATCACATAATAATTCGCCAGCTATACACTCTCCATTGGAACATCGAAATCTCTCTAATCTGTTCGAACAAATATATTAGCTGATATTTATTTGCTTAAGCATTGCATTATTTTAATACGTAAATACTTACCCACAACCATAAGTTTGTGCATATCCAGAATCAATGCACACTGAAAAATCCAAAAAATAGTTTTGCTTATTTTTATAATCTATCCTGTTATTTTGTGTTGAACAATGGTACACGTAAATTGAAATTAATAATTCAATAACAGAACTCTTAATATAAAAATGGCAATTGTGTAATACAAGGATTGATAAGAGTCAAATTAGTACAAATAATTTATTAAAAAATTTAAAAAAATGGTGAAAAACTTGATTTACATCTGACTAAAAAGCTAACTACGCATAAATTACATTACATGTTTCGACTGTGTGATTCAGCTCTCCTCAGATGTTTAACAATATTAATAATATTTTAAATCGCAACGCTGTTATATATTAAAAAACGTTATTTTAAAGATGGATGAGATGTAATGGACATTCCGGACAAGATAAAATCGTCCTTATTCAGCAAACGATTTTGAATTTTTTAATAAATTGAAATTATTTGTTAAATTATTTTAATTATATATTTAAGATGTTTTTCAATCATATATGTAGAATCCTGATTAATGTCCTTATTTTTTGTAATGAGGAAACCAAATCATTGATCATATCAGTTAACACAGAAAAATTTTAATAAACTTTAATAAATGTGGGAGAGATGTGTTATATATTCGTGTATCATCTTCGCTTATTATCTACCAATGTAAGTAAACATGTATGCAAGATAGATTCTTCTACACTGAGGTTCAAGGTCACTAAACTGGTTTCTGAAACTGGTTAAGATTACTTCAGAAATCTCTTGGAATATGCGAATGTTTTAATTTTTTTAACTACGAAAAATTACTACGAAACACCAATTAGTATATAATACGAAATTTCTTGTAACAAATATAAATAAATAAAATAAGCTTTATAAAATATTTTTTATCAATTATTATTTACAAATTATTAATTGATTGATCATTTAATTAAAATTAAAATATAACTAAATAAAAAATAAACTAAATAAAATTTTGTAAGTTAAATAAATTAAAATTTCGAAATATATTTGATATTTTTTTCTAAAACGTATGTTATATTTAATGTTATTTTGGTACTGTAAAATATGTAAAAATATCTGGATTCAAAATAAATTAAAACAAATATTATGTCAAAATGCAGTAATAGCATCAATGAAAACAGTTGCAATTATAAATATTTTTATGAATATTTATCAATGCTATATATATTTCATTAATAATAGATTCAAAAATATAATAAAATATGTTCTATCTTCAACATTCTGTTACACTATATCCAATTGAAAAATAAAAAATCTTTAAGAAAAGGTTATAACAGAAAAATTTTTTTAAGTTGCAACTTTGCAATTACAATAAGTTTTATCAATACTGTGATGTAGTTCTTATTTATATCACAAAAACACATAAGTTTGGTGTCATATTCTTTCTTACCATAAACTATTAATAATCTGAATATCCATTGAATAATCCGCATGGTGAAGTATACTGTGCAAAATGTTAATAATTGCAGTCTGCGTCTCTTTATATCCCGGCGTTCGGTCACTCACTGCGATCATCTACAATGCGTGCTACAAGACTGGAATTACCCAACGCAAGCAAAGCGTCATCTTGGCGCGAGTGGTGGGAAGTACATACCAGGGAAAGTACATGCTGAGATTTATATGCTGCAGATTAATCTAAACTACAAACAAATCGAGACAGAATGATGACGTACATATGTGCACATATGCTTTCAATCCAGTTCAAAGAACCGCAAGATACAAATAATATACATTTTTACTAGAATGTTTTGATTAGGATTCTGACATTATCGCTACTGGTTTTACAAGAGGGAATTACTTTATAACTATAACTAGTTACTTATAATTAATCTTGCAAATAGGAAACTTTAATAATAATTTAAAAACTTTCTTTAATGTTTCTTAGTGCATTTGATACAGAGATGGAAGTATATATTTTACACCGAAACATTATGCATGGCTTCTTGTTTTTCTTCATTCTCCACAGGTAGCACATCTTTATTACTAAAAGAATAAAAAGGAAGGCCTATCAGCCATTTCAAGGTTCTATATAATATTCGTTAAGGTATATATCTAAATAGAAAGAAAAATTTATATATAATATAGTGTTTAAAAATAGGATACGTTTGTTCTGAAATTTCGGTGTTAATCATGTGTTGCAAAATATATGTCTTCTGAAACTTTTCTACCTCTTCTTCACACTCCTTCCAATCTAACGTTTCATGGAGACCGTCTGTGCCATATCTTTTACTATAATTATCATAATGCACCTGTTAATACATTTAGTCTTTGAATAATTTGTCTTTAGAAAACTTAATATTAATATTTAACAATAGATCATAATAAGTTATTAAATTATCGAATTTTTTAGATATTTTAATATAATAAATATTAAATAATTTCACATATCAGCAGAATATGTGCTATCAAATTTTCTCTTACATGACATAGACACAATCCTAAACTAGGTGCAAGTGGTAAGTCCATCTTGTCCATTGTCTTGAACGCTTCATCGATTGTCTCTTTAGATATCATGTTCCTCGCAATCGCAACTACAATTGCAACCATTTTTCGAATTTGATGCAACATGAAGCTTTGTCCTTTAATTTCCAATACCGCTAATTCTATACCATTTAAAACAAATGTTTCCGTACAACAGAAACTAATTATATAACGTCGCGCACGTGGATCTAATGGTTTCCTGAATTAAACAAAATTTGCTTCTATTTTAAATACCTAAGTAAATAAATACGTTTTTTTGGAATTGATATCGACTTACACTTTTGACGTGAAGTTATGAAAGTTGTGAGAACCTTCAAAAAGTTTCAAAATCGAATTTAATCTATCTAATGATTCTGGAGATAATTTATAATCAGTGTATGGCTTTCCATCAATAATTGATAACTGTTTGATTCTTTCATCTTCGTTAACTTCTTCTCCAAGTTTTAGCAAACTTTGATCTTCTAATGCAAATGCATAGGAAGGAATGATATATCTATAAGTACGTGCATCACATTGATTTTTGCTGTTGAAACCCTTTGTCACACGCTTTATTCCAAATACTCTGATTACATCAGGTAAGAACTGATTTATTACTGTCCTATCACTATTCTCCGCTGTAAAGAAAAATTAATGTTTATAATTTAATAATATATTCATATATAACATAATTCAAACAAAAAGTTTATTTTTTTAATTATTTTTAAATTATAAATTTTGCCTGTTATTATATTGACTGTGTTTAGCAAAAAAAGTAGCTTTGCAACTGTTGCTCAATTCTTTAGTATGGGGGTGCGGTCTACTTGACACTACAAATGCTTCAAAACTTTCGATTGCCTAATCAGAAGAAAAAATTTTATTAATTAACCAATCAAAAAATGCTTCAAAGCGTTCGTAGCATCAAATGGACCGTAGCCTGGTTCTTGCTCTTAGTTCCACAAAATAAATCTAAGTGTATAAATAATTAATCATATTAAAAAATCTTGCAACAATTACAAAGATATTTTTTTTGTTGAATACATCTAGTGATAACTTAAATAAAAACAGCATTGTAAAATTAATGCAAGTGTACTATAATATATTAATATAAATCAAAATTGCTCTTAAACAATAATTCTTTAAAAAAAAAAGTATATAAAATAATTTATCTTACGTAGTTTCAACGAAACAATTTGTCTAATTGCTGATACTCCTTTGTCCGTACGTGCAGCCCTTTGAAAATTAATTGCACGTATATTCTCAAATTGTTCCTGAGTTATCAAGTTTGCCTTTAGTAAGGCAATAATTAAATCTTCTTCAATAGTTTTCATACCAGGATTTCTTTGCATACCGTAATAGTCTTTGCCAACATAGCCTAGTAATACAGCATGATTTTTTCTCTTGATTCTTTGTACCGTTTCCATTTCTGTCATTTCTACTGTTGTTACTTGTACTGTTTCCTCTTTTGTCTTTTGCACTTTGGCTTCATTTTCACTACCATCATCTATGGATCTCTTAATTCCATGCATAGTAGTATTTACATCAGTATGCACTTCAGAGTCAGTTGTAGGATGCATTGCGACTGATCTAGTTATGTGATAAATGTTCTCTAAAAGACAAATTTATGTGAGTATTAAATAGTATTTGAATTAGATGTTACATTAGATTTACATTAAGTAATGAGCTAAATTAAGAAAAGAACTCAATTTTAAACTCAACAAAGAGAATAAGTTCTAATATACAGACATTTTAAATGCTACAAATATAATTTCTTCAAACTTTGCGTACGCTTATTTGAATTTGTATTATATAAAAATTAATCCGTTAACATATTATCTCCAATATTATACTTTGTATACCTAATTGAATCTTTACCCGACAAATTACGGATTTGCTTGAAAGGCAGTATCTTGTCCTGTACAACATTTGTGGCACCTTAATTCTTATCCTTTAAATAATTCTCACGTTAAAATAGTTCAAATTTCTTTTTCTTGTTTTATTAAAAATTACGTCATTTATAATAGTGCTATAAAAACCGCAGGAATATCCAACGCAGACTTCACATATACATGTTACTTCACGCCATTAACGTACACAACCGAACAGTACCGAATATATGGAATCCATTAGTCTGTTTTCTCTTCTTGCAGTAGAACTTCAGTGCAGTCACTACACTAGAACTCTCTTTCTCACTTTCAACAAATATCAAACTATAGCGGATTACTACATACAGGAAAGGATTCCGTAAGAAACAATGGCTCGATTATCAATTAACTGAGTGTGTCCTTACAAAACATATGCCTGTTTCACTTTAAGTTCCAAAAGTGTACATAAATTCAGCCAAATTCAGCCACAGCCACACAGAAAACAGACCTCGTGTCATGAGGGCTTCTTATATGTATCGATATGTTGATATTATCGAAACGAAAGTATCGATATTGAAAGTATCACGCTTTAAACATAACCTATAACTACTAATGATTATACACGATTTGACATAATCACAGCATAAAACGCGATATAAATCATAATTACAAAATTAAATGAAAATATTTATAGATATACAATAATTCGAATGATTGTTTTTTTCTTTTGACAGTTCTCAAGCATTAAAATATCTGAAAAATGTTATTAAGATACGTGAGCCCGGTGTTTATTTACAGAAAATTTTTACAGGTACGTCCTTGATATAACTATTTTTTTAAGTTAAATATATAACATATTTTATCCTTCTTTTTAACCATAAATTTGTTGATTTCCACTGAATTTTTTAGATTGACACAATCTTCCTTCAAATTATAAAACAATCTCAAATTGTTTTACTAAATTTACCTAAGTTCAATTTAGCTTATAATTAGAAATGAATAGAAATACCTTAAAATTATCCAAATGCAAAAATGTTTCTAAACAAATGGGCATCTATTTCAGAACAATCTACCAATATTAGTTGCTACTGTTAATTATCCTAATAATTCAATACAAGTAGCACATATAAATAAGCATTGGAATCCAAAATGGAAGAAGGAAAGGAGACAAAAAGTCATTAAAATAGAACTTCCTAAATTTGATGATGATAATGACGATCCTACTAAAATGAACAAAGAGCAAATGCGATCGCGTATGAAAGAACATGGTTTTCTACCACAGAAACCTTGGAAAGAAAGACCAGCATTTATTAACAGTACTTCAGCAATTTTTGAATCTTATATTGTTCCAGAAGGAGATGGAAAATATTCTGCCATTACCAAAGAAGTACATATTCTTTGCTATTACTTTGTATATTGTAACTTTTAAATAGAAAGTATAAAATATACAATGATATTTTTTTAAGTTCAAAATGAAAGAAGAAATATGTGTTTATTCTAATTATTTATTTTATTATTGATATATAGGGAGCAAAACAAAAATTCACATTTGTTGAAAAAAAGGGCAAATCTTTAATAGCCATCAGAAAAATTAAATCATTTGATGATTCCTTTAAGACATCAATATTTTTAGAAGAAGCCCTAGATATATATCAGAAAGCTCATGAAGCTTTAGCTAGGTAAGAAAAAAAATTATAAATATATAATGTTTTTATTATATAAGTATACAAACGTATTATATGATTAAAAAAAAAACCAAATCAAAAGAACACATCAAAAGAATTATTAGCAATTAATGAATAGAGCATTCATTCTTCCTATTTATAGTAATGTTACTAAATATAATAATTTTTAATTATAGCAAAAATGAAGAAGAAATAATAAAATATGTTACAGAATTGGTATATCCTGTAAGTTAAAAATATATCTTGTGTTCTCTCTTGTTAATTTAAAATGTTACATTTATTATTATATAATAACATATATTACAATATTTTTCCTTTGCATTTTAGAAAATAACACACAATATAATGAACAAAACCATACACTGGAAATTCTTAGAATCTTTGGAACCAGCTCGACTCGTCCACGCAAGGAATACAGATGTAATAACAAAAGAAAACGTTTTTGCACAACTTACTGTTCGGTTTCACACGCAACAGGTTCAATAACATCTTTAATTGTTTATTTTTTTTATAATATAAACAATTTTTTAATAAACATTTTTCCGTATATAGGTTTTAGCAATTTATGATAGATTCGGTCGTCTTATACAAGGAAGCGAAATTCTGAGGAAAGACGTATTAGAATACATAGTATTCGAAAAGCATTTAGCTAATGAATATGGTGTATGGCGAATTCATGGTAAAATTATACCATCTTGGATGACTCCGACAGATATAGCGGAAGGCACATATGTTCTACCGAAAGAGGAGGAACATGATCCTGAACCAACCGAACCGCATCCTGTAGAAGCTACATTAACAAAAGACACGCCAAAGAATGCAGCAAGCGTACAACCTTCGTGAATTTGCAATAGATATGTAAACTATTTTAAGTTATGCTTATATTATACTGTATGATGTTAGGATACAAAATATATTGCAATTCATGTAATCATTTAAAGTGCATTTATATTCCAACAAAATTTAGTTTGATATTGTCATAAAAGCTTTTACAAAATTTTGTGTTTGATTATTAATAGAATATGGTTAATACAATTACAATTATGTACCTATTATAATTACAAAATAATTTTTTTTAAACAATTTTCTAATACTAATTAAATTTAATTTAATAATTAAATTTAAAATAAACTTTTAACTATTATAATTAAATTACTACTTGCAAGTAAACTCATAAAATATATTTGCGGTAGATTATAAAAAAATATTTATAATTGCTTTAATTTATAAGCAAATATAATTTTTTCAATTATCAGAATAATGAGAGCTATAATCGTCCCACAGCACATCACCGCAATTATTAAAGAAACTTGATGTAATTCAATTGGTTTCGGTGTGTCGTCTTCAGCGTAATAATGTTTAAAGTTATTTTCCAACCAACGTTTTTTTAATACATTTAATAGTCCAATTTCCATTAATTTAAGTATCCTATTTATGAAAATTATTTGTTAATACATAAAACTATCAAAATTTAAACTTACTGCTACAAAATTCTATCATTGATGAGCAAATATAATATAAAAGATTGTTTAAAAAAATGAGTATTGAGTGCTCTATTAGAAAAAATTTTGGAAATCGTAATATCATTTATTCTATAATCGACTCTTTTCAATATTTAATTAATAAGCAAGTTATTTTTTGACATGTGTTTTCTTTTTTTTTGGAAAATTAATTTAGAACTATCAACATTTTTGGAATTTTTAAAAATTGGAATTTATTTCCAATAGTAGAGCAATAATAAAAATACGTAGAAATTTTTTTCTATTCAAATAGTTTTTATTTTAATTATAAAGATATTCCATGTTATCGATAAAATATAATCGAAATTTGATAGAAGTTTTATATATACATATTGTTTATATACACTCTAAAACTTTTAAAATCTCTAAGTAGTGAAATTTCATTCTTAAATACTAAAGACTGAATCATTCTTTTTCAAAATTGATTCAATTTTAAGACTGCACTCTTCAAAAAATTTAGAGAGTTAATTTAAAATTTTGTTTAAAACAAATTAAATTGATTAATGATTTTGTATAATACATTTGTATAAGAATACACTGTCGATTTCCAAAAAATTAATATTTTTACATTTAGAATATATTATTCTGTACACATGTATTGTTTACCCAAGATCGATACTTCTTTTGTACTTAAAATTCTTCACGATACCGGAAGTGACCCATGTTTTCGCGTAAGGTTCTCCAATGGTAGTCAAATGACACATAATATTCCCAATTACTTTATACATTGCTTCAGTTTGAAATATGACATATTTCTCTTTTTTGGAAAAACATGCCATTTTATGCATATCCTCAAATGTTGATGCTAACATTAAACGTTCTGTTTTTTTTGCTTGTAAAAATGGATCCTCGTTAATCTATGACATATTTAATCAACCATTTTTTAAGTATTTAAGTTTTACACGCAAGAAACCACAAATATATATATATAAATCTCTATTTAAATTATGCTCTTTACAAAAATTATAACTTCTTCTTCAATGTTTTAAACATCATTATTTAATTTTTACACAATTTTATATATTTTTTATTTAAGGAATAATAAATTACGATTTCATTTCAGTAAATGTACCTTAAACATAGCTTCTGCAGTTGAACCTTTCAAACCAATAACGTTGTATTTAGTATTAGTCACCAAGGTAGTGAAACTATCAAATGGTGGCACAAAAACACTTTTAGATAGATGTATAAATAATACAGCACCAAATGACATACATATTACAGAACAAAACAATCCTAATGATACTTCTAACATTCTCGATTTTCCATCAAGATACTGGGGAATATAGCCTATTACAATTATTCAAATTAATGACTTTTAACTTAATTATAACTTTTTACTGTTATCGATATAATATAATTATGTTTTAATAATCTTTAAAATGTATATTATTTTATATTATCTAAATATTATTGTAATTTATATATTTTTATATATTTTAAAATTAAAAAGTTATTGTAAACTATAAAAAGTATTGAAGAACTAATTTCCAAGTTATATTCTTCTCTAACTTTAAAAATCAATTTTTTAAATATATGATGTCAAATAATTGATATTTTATTTTAACGCGATATTCAGATTTATCTCACAATCAGTGTAACATGGGGTCGTAGGATTTTAAGTCGCAGAAAATTTAACCAATCATAGTCGAACATGAGATGAATATAATAATCGACAATGATTTATAAATATTCTACAACTTAAGATCCTACGACCGCTACGACTTCTATTAATCGTAGACCCTGCAAAAAGCCATTTCTAACAAAAATTAGTAACATTTTAATCAGTTATTAATTTATTCGCACATACCTTGATTGCACAAGTTTCCAAAGCTATAAAATAAATGTTCGTTGAAAGATACGTTTTTACGTTTATCTTTATTTTGTATAAGAATACTTTGTGTTAAAAAGGTGCATAGACTCAGTAGTAGACACATACTTAATATAACGCACCATATTTTCCAAGAGAAAATTTTTACCATCCATATATTATCATATATCATTTCGGGATGAATATATAATTGAATTCTACAAAATTTATTTTAAATAATATGACAATAATCTTATCAATCATATAACTTAATTTATCACAACACTTAGTTTAAATAAATATTAAATCAGATAAATAAGAAGTTTAATAAATTAAACAGACCTATTTGTCCAAAAAGGTATTGAAAATTCGGTAACTGTAAGTTCCGGTGAAAAGCTTTGTAGTTTTGCTATTGCAATGGCTTCATTGCGAAAAATAATACTTAATAATCCGTTTTTATTAAAAGACAAGGCGTCTTTTTGTGATACGCCCTGGCCATCTAAGTTTGCTCTCACTAACTGTAATCTAAAAATATATGAGATATTTTTCCGTTGCTTTCTATTATTAATTATATTAATCGCACAATAGAACATTCTGTTCTCGCGATGTGATATACGTGATGCGGTCTTACGTAAAGTTCAGCGATTCAGAAAGTAGATTCCATATATCCCCACAGAATCCTGTAATCTTCATATTATTGTCGTAAAAATGAACCAAGTACTGATCCTAAAATGAATTAATGAAGTTATATTATTTATTAATTTATAATTCTTACTATATCGTTATTTAACAAATAATACCTATTTTCGAATATAAAAAGAAATATTCTTTATAACATTATTATTTATTTATAATGCGCATATATTTATAATGAGAAAGAGAGAGAGAGAGAGAGAGAAACGGACAGAATTTTTAGTTAAAAATAAAGATACTATAACTTTTTTATTAATGTTTTCTAATATTAGTACATTGTGTAACGCGCGGGGGCTAGTGTTATGGTTGGTCCAATCGCTTTTCCACCTTACAGTTTTCGATAGAACTCGTCAAGTACTATAAGAAACGCAACTCAGAACTACTCGGTACTCTCAGAAAAATTTTCAAAGATTTCTACTAAAAATTTTGTTAAAAAGTTAGCACCCCATTTTTAAAAAATTATTAAAAAATGATTATTAAGCGCATATATCATTAAAAATCATAAAAAACTCTTCGTATCGTCAAAAAGAAGCAGGAATTATCATCAGAACTATCTAAAAATTAATTTTTCAAAAATTTTTAATTTTTTTTTATTATTCGAAAATTTTTTTTACATATCAGGAACTCTAGGCAATCGCAAATTGAAGCTATTAAGCTGCTCAGAACTATTCCACCTCGAAATTCGATAAAAAGTTAACACCTCATTTTTAAAAAATGTAAAAAAAATGTTTATTGAGCGGAACTCTTGTTATTAACTATAAGGAACTCTTCGTCTCGTCAAAAGGAAGTGGGAACTCTAATCAGAACTCCTGAGTACTATAGTTGGGGTGCTAACTTAACATACCCGGAAAAAAGAGTACATACGGGAGTGTTTTAATTTATTTAATTATATATAAACTATAAAAATAACAATTTTAGAAAAAGAATATTAATTTTTAGTTAGCTTATACGTAAATAAATTGAAACACTTCGCGTATGTGCGACCCGTGTGAAAAATAAACTGGCCCCCCAATATTAAAAAATCGATTTTTTTCTTCATGCATTCGTTTGCTCATCGTTTGCTCACGAATGCTCAGTTGGAATTTTCGTTTGCTCACCCTTAGTTCAAAAGATATACGAAAATTATGTTTTGGTATCGAATTAAAAAATCGATTTTTTTCTTCATGCATTCGTTTGCTCATCGTTTGCTCACGAATGCTCAGTTATAGTCAGTTGGAATTTTCGTTCGCTCACCCTTAGTTCGAAAAATTTGTGGGCAAACACTTAGAGAAGTCTTCTTGTTAGATAGAATAATCATATTAGATATTTTCAGAACGTACCTGAAAAGATGCTAATGTCAAGTTTTGTAATTGAAAATTGTGGACTTCAAGTTCTCGACTTTGTCTGAAGCGTTCTTTTTGCATCACGGCATATACCGGCACGCTAGAAATTGGCACGAAAGTCTTTTGGGTCTTACTCCAAATCACACCGTTCATTGTCTTAAACAAATACAAAATTATAATGTAACTAGAAATAATAATCGACTTATACAAATGTACTATTTAAATGCCTCACGTAGATTTACAGAATTATTACTTAGTGAGTGATATGATTCAAAATTTGTATTACGTATCTCCAGTAACATATTATTTACAATTTATATTGAAGGCAGAAATAGCTTATCGTGATCGGATTGATTTCTGTAATTAAGTGATAAAATGTGTATCATCATGTTACTTTAGATAAGATCTTATTTTAGATAGATTATTACTTTCCACAGATTATTATTTTCTATGTATTTATTTTATATTTTATCAAGTACAGACAAAAATTCAACAAATACTTTATATATTTTAAGCTATAAGCATATTTTAAACTTATAAAGAAAAATAAAATTATTGTAAAAGTATGCAGCTTTAACATATTTTCGCTTTTAGCATTATTAAATCGC